ATCAGGTGTTTGTGGATGGGGTTGGAATATATCCTGCATGTGCTGTTACAAGAGCTAGAAGTAGGGCAGAAGATCAATCAGAGGTGATAACCTTGCCAGAGGAAAAGATCCATGATTGTCCATGGGAATATGATTTGTCAGATACATTCATGAGTGAGTTGGATAAAGTCAAACCTCCTGAAGTTGGCCAGACTGTGATGAAATCATACAGTGGTGATAGTTTTGATGGGGTATGGTCCAAAGAAGAACTTATCAGGAATCAGAAAGTTGATTCAGAAGTACACCAGCTTAGAAATAAAGTTTTAGCAGAGGTTGAGATTGAACAAGTACCAGTTGGATATTACTTGGACAATGATGTTCTTATGAGAAAATGGAGACCGCCAGATAGTTCTGTAAATGAATTTTGGCAGGTACAACATCAAATTGTAGTACCACACTGTTATCGTCAGGCCATTATCAGCCTAGCTCATGATTCACTATTAGCAGGTCATTTAGGAGTCAACAAGACTTATCAAAAACTGTTAAATCATTTCTACTGGCCAGGCTTACAAGATGATGTCAGGAAGTATTGCAGAACATGCCATACGTGTCAGATCGTAGGGAAACCTAATCAGACAATTCACAAGGTTCCCTTACAACCTATCCCAGCATTTGAGGAGCCTTTCAGTAGAATTCTGATTGATTGTGTGGGACCATTGCCTAAAACTAAGTCAGGACACCAGTATTTGTTGACCATCATGTGTACTTCTACAAGATTTCCAGAGGCTGTCCCTTTAAGAAATATTAGGGCAAAAACTATTGGTGATGCATTGACTAAGTTTTTCACTGTTTTTGGATTACCCAATTGTCTTCAGTCAGATCAGGGTTCCAATTTTATGGCAAACGATTTTCAGGATCTCATGCGAGAGTTAGGAGTAAAACAGTTTAAGTCTAGCTCATACCATCCAGAATCACAGGGTGCCTTAGAAAGATTCCACCAAACACTGAAAACTATGCTAAGAGCATATTGTCAGGACCATCAAAGGGATTGGGATAAGGGTATTCCCTATGTACTTTTTGCAGCCAGAGAATCTGTACAGGAATCGTTAGGATTTAGTCCTTTCGAATTAGTGTTTGGCAGACAAGTGCGGGGTCCATTGAAATTACTGAAGGAGAAGTGGTTGGAAGAAAGAGAAAGAAACAAATCTATTACAGTATGTATCAGATTTGAAAGAACGAATGGTGAATGCTGGTGAGTTAGCAAAGACAAACTTACAAGACAGCCAGGTACGAATGAAAGAGTGGTACGATAGAAAAGCTATCAAGCGTGAGTTCAAGGCAGGTGAAAAGGTACTACTATTACTACCATTACAGGGTCAGCCACTACATGCAAAGTATTTTGGACCATATACTGTACTAGAAAAAGTCAGTGACACAAACTATGTGATAAGTACTCCAGACAGGAGAAAATCTAAAAGGTATTGTCACATTAACATGATCAAAAAGTATCATGAAAGAGAGCATGACAGCATACCGGTGTGCATGGTAAATGTCCAAGCAGATACTTGTACTAATACACAGGGGCAGGAAATACATTTCGAAGGGGCAGAAGTGCCTAAGACAAAACTAAACAATTCAGAAATACTGGACAATTTGAATGACAAGTTGCAGCATATGTCTGAATGTGAAAAACAAGAGCTGATAGACTTAATTCATGAGTTTGAACAGATATTTCCTGATACGCCATCACGCACTGATATGATAGAACATGATGTGGACGTCGGTGACGCTAGTCCAATTAAGCAACATGCTTACAGATGTAATCCACTCAAGCTAGAGCTATTGAGAAAAGAAATAGATTACATGCTAGAAAATGACATTATACAGCCTAGTTGTAGTCCATGGAGTTCCCCATGCATTCTCGTGCCTAAGAATGACGGAGGTGTACGTTTTTGTACCAATTTCAAGAAGGTCAATGCTTTATCTAAGACTGATTCTTACCCTTTGCCTGTTATAGATGACTGTGTAGATCGCATAGGGCATGCAAAGTATGTGACTAAGTTTGATCTTTTGAAAGGTTATTGGGGCATACCATTATCCTCTAGGGCAAAGCAAATATGTGCATTTTGTACACCAGAAGGCTTGTATGAATACAATGTCATGCCGTTTGGACTAAAGAACGCACCAGCAACATTCCAACGCTTGATCAACAAAGTCATTTATGATGTTGAACATTGTTACGCATACATCGATGACATCATCATTGCAACAGATTCATGGAGAGAACATATGCAAGTCATGCGACACCTCTTTGAGAAGTTGTCACGAGCTCAACTTACAATCAACTTGAGCAAGACAGACTTTGTTAAGGCAACGGTAACCTACCTGGGTCACGTGGTTGGACAAGGACAGGTAAAGCCAGTCCAGGCCAAAGTAAAGGCTATATTGGAATTTCCTGCTCCCAAGAACAGGAAACAGATCATGAGTTTCCTAGGAATAGCAGGCTACTACCGCAAATTTTGTAAGAATTTTGCACAGGTTGCAGCCCCATTAACAAGTCTCTTGAAGAAAAATGTACCATTCCAATGGAAGAATGAACATGAGGACGCTTTGCAGAATATCAAGAATATCCTGACAAATTCGCCAGTACTGATGACACCAGACTATCAGAAACAGTTCATACTTCATGTGGATGCATGTGATATTGGTACAGGTGCAGTCTTGCAACAGGAAGATGCACACGGGATTGAACACCCAATATGCTATTTTAGCAGGAAATTCGATCAACACCAACGGAATTATTCCACCATAGAGAAAGAAACTTTGGGACTGATACTGGCATTAGAACAGTTTGACATCTACGTGTCAACAACAAAGTGGCCGGTACTTGTATTCACGGATCATAATCCACTGGTGTTCGTGAATAAAATGAAGAACAAAAATCAGAGACTCATGAGATGGAGCATTGCTTTGGAAGCATTCAACTTGGAAATAAAACACATCAAAGGAACACAGAACGTCATCGCTGACGGCCTTTCAAGAGGTTTCATTTCATAGATAGACTATGTATACTGTGTACAAGAACGGTGATCATGGTAACACTTGTAATGCCGCTGAATGTGAACACATCAAATTTCACTATATGATCTGTATTTGATATTTGTATTTGATCTGTATTTTGCATTGTGAATATCATCATTATAACTAAGAAGTTTTCCATAATTTGTAATTATGAAAAACATTCTTTTTTGTAAGGGGGGGAGTGTTATGGGTGATGAAACATATTTTGCAAATATAATGTACAGGTTTAGATAGTGATGAGTATACTTGGTGTAATTAGTTTTAGCTTGGGGTGAGGGGCCTTCGCTTGAGCGAGAAATTGTTATGTAACTAGTGGTACAGCTTGGGGTTTGATGAATTCAGCTTAATTGAATGTGGCCAGCCAGCTTATAGGGAGAAGCTCGGTGATTCTGATCGAGTTGGGATGTTTCTTGAGGACGGGATTTTTGCCAGTTGTGGTTGTACCTACAATGTGAATTTTACAAACTTGCACCCATGTCGGGACTGTGTCAAATATGGAAACTAGGAAATCAAGGTGTACAGGAAGGATTTAAAAATGAGGTGACTATGCCATATTGCTTTGCCCATAATATATCTAAGTGTCAATTCCCTCTTCACTTTCCACATTTGTAAATTGGTAACCTGTATCAGCCTTTTGTTAGGATAGAATAAATAAATCTTCCTCAATTAGTCAGATTGTTGTGTGATCCATTTTCATTGTTACGGGTGAATTGGTGTCATATACCCCTTTATCATACCTTCACTCGTAACAATATTAACATACGAAAATATAATCAAATGCAAATTGACCCATAGTTATTGCTAAGAACAAGGGTTCGATTCTGACCAATATCAGCGCTCAAACGCACCTCTTGACAACTTTGCATCGAAAACAGCAAAATGCACGTGTTTGCACGTAAGGGTAAAATGCTCGTGCATGCATGGTATAAAATCACCCCACAGCACAGAGCAGATCGTTCTTCAGCAGAAAACCACTTAACAATGTCAAGGTTAGCTTCAGCAGAGCGAGAGAGGGCCATCAGAATGCTGCAAATGGGCGCTACAACCGGTCACGTTGCAAGAACCTTCAGTTGCTCCGTCGTGACCGTCAGGAACTTTCGTCGGCGTTACCAACAGACTGGTCAGACCTCAGACGGGCCCCAGACAGGCCCCAGACAGGCAGCCCCCGGGTGACAACTGCGCAGGAAGAGCGCCACCTGAGGACGTTACACCTTAGAAACCGCTTCCTGACGGTAACGTCATCAGCGTCAACAGCACTCGGTCACCCTGTGAGTCGAAGGATAGTGTCAAGGAGACTACGGGCCTATGGTATCAGGGCCTACCGACCGTACCGAGGGACGCAGCTGACAGGCAGACATGGTCGCTCGAGTTGTCCAGAACTTCTTTCACGCCAACAACGTCAACGTCCTGCCATGGCCTGCACGCTCTCCTGACATGTCGCCAATCGAGCACGTATGAGACCACCTTGATAGAGTTACACAACGGGGACAAAATCCACAAGTTACAGTACAGCAAATGACTCAAGCCCTTGTCGAGGAATGGAGGCGAATCCCAGCTGACGTCATCAGACGCCTCACAACTTCAGTCAGAAGAAGTGTGTTTGCATGTATTCTATCCAGAAGTTGACAAACTCGCTTTTAGAGACTTCTGTTCACGCTTTGCTGTTTTTCCCGAATGGACCCACTGATCGTGAATTCTCTAGTTTGACCCCATGTCCACCATAACCTGTTCAATAAGTTATCAGCCGTGTTAAAAATCGAACGTTTGTACTTAACACGAGCCTATGTCATTGCTTCACAAATTATGAATTGCAAATTTCGATATCTTGTTGTTGTTTTTAAGTGAGATCAAATTGAACGAGGAGAAAGTTTCTTTTGCCCGTCAGTATAGATTCAATCACGAAAGTTATGTTCTTAAATGTTTCTTTCACGACTTTGCAGAATCCAAGTCCCCGCCTAGACTGTCAGAGCAACGAGCTCGTGAGTGTGAAAACAAGTAGTCTCTGTCGACCTTTCGCCCCACAGTGGTTATGTGCCTCTTGTGGTCAGAGTCTGACGACCTATCGGCCAGCAGTGGTTATGTCTCTCTTGTGATCAGAGATTTTGTCAACCACTGCGCCTGTTGACCATAAGCTGCAGATATATGTCATATCTATATGTGGATACTTAAATGTCAACTGGATTAAAGTGTATTTATTAGCATGCATTAACTGTCTGTCCACCAACTTGATGTTGAGCATAGACTAAGGAATATACATACAACACCGATACTAAACATCAGATGCGTGCATGCATTTCTTCATGTTATTTCCTTATGGTTTCACAGAATCACAGTCCCCACCCAGAATGGATTTCTATCGAACAAGTAAGTCAATGCTGAATCAACTTTTACATCAGTGTTTAAGACGACCCTCCGAATGGTGTTTGGCTATTTTCTGTTTGTGCACATAAACGTATGTAAGACTTGAATGTATCTGCTAATATGCAAACTTGTCATTCGCTGTTCCTGCTTGCAGAGTCCAAGTCTCCACCAAGACTGAAAGAACAGCGAGCTGGTGAGTCAGCGCTCAAGTGATTTATACCTCGTTCTGTTTTGTGTTACCTCGCAATGACCTCCCAGTCAATAAGTAGCATTCTATATATTTAAATTACATTTGTGACGTCATTCCATTGTCTGTTCGCTTCATTACTTTTCAGGAATGGAGCGATGTGTACCAGTTTCAAAATAACACCTTCATTTCGTCACTTTGACATTTAATTTTGATAACAGAAATATTACCAATACTTTGAAAGTAATGTAAGTAGGGTAATATCCTCGTAGCTCTCCCGGACATTACCCTCTACACAGTGTGCAATACTGGAAGGGAAATTGTCGCGTTGCCGCCCTCTCAAAAACAAGATGAGGCAAAATTAACCAAAGCGCGACAATGCGACAACGCGACATTTCGACCATTTGTCGCATTGTCGCATGTCGCATTTTGAATAATAGTTTTCTGTTCCTCCAAAGGGCGACAGTGTGACAACACGACAATTTTCAAGGTCAAAATATGTCGCGTTGTCGCATTGTCGCCTCATCTAAGATGTGTAAAGGAAAGCCTAAAAATGCGCGACAACGCGACAGTGCGACAACCCGACAATTTCCCTTCCATATCCATAGTGTCAGCCTTCACCTTGTGTCAACCGAACCACAAATATGTGTTCAAATGTGTTCAACTGTATGTTCTAACGTCAGCAGCACAAAATGACTTCACTTAACACTGTCAACTGTTTAATTAAATTTCTAGGATATGAGATTGCACACTGCAATATATTCTTCTGTGATGTTTAATGGTATACCAATCTCTCTCACGTTCTATTGTTCATGGTCCACCTAACACCATGTTCATGTTCACATATTGTGTCTCCCATACATTATTTAATGTTCTATGATTTAATGTTCATGGTTTTACAGAATCCAAATCCCTGTCGAGACTCCCAGAAGACAGGGCCCGTGAGTATTGGTTACAAAGTCATGGATCAGGCTGAGGTGTGTCCTTTGGTTACGTGTAGCGCAGTCAGCCACACTGTACACTTACCAAAACACATGGAACAGTAACTGTTAGATCTGCAGACTCAGTATGCCTCGACTTGGAAGGTCAACGTGTTCTCTGTACACAAGACAAGGCTGCAGAGATTGTTCTGCCTGCTCTAGCGGAGAGATGACGGGGAAGGATGAACAACATCATTATCACAACTAGGGGTGGCGTTACGGTGTAGGGTGTAACACAGTTATATAGCATATGGCTGAAAGGACGTGCGAGGATGTGGCGTTACGGTGTAGGGTGTAACACAGTTATACAGCGTATGGCTGAAAGGACGTGCGAGGATGTAGCGTTACGGTGTAGGGTGTAACACAGTTATACAGCGTATGGCTGAAAGGACGTGCGAGGATGTGGCGTTACGGTGTAGGGTGTAACACAGTTATACAGCGTATGGCTGAAAGGACGTGCGAGGATGTAGCGTTACGGTGTAGGGTGTAACACAGTTATACAGCGTATGGCTGAAAGGACGTGCGAGGATGTGGCGTTACGGTGTAGGGTGTAACACAGTTATCATACATTTAACAACGTATGGCTGAAAGGACGTGCGAGGATGTGGCGTTACGGTGTAGGGTGTAACACCGTTATCAAACATTTTACAACGTATGGCTGAAAGGACGTGCGAGGATGTGGCGTTACGGTATAGGGTTTAACACAGTTATACAGCGTATGGCTGAAAGGACGTGCGAGGATGTGGCGTTACGGTGTAGGGTGTAACACAGTTATCATACATTTTACAACGTATGGCTGAAAGGACGTGCGAGGATGTGGCGTTACAGTGTGGGGTGTAACACACTTATCATACATTTTACAACGTATGGCTGAAAGGACGTGCGAGGATGTGGCGTTACGGTGTAGGGTGTAACACCGTTATCAAACATTTTACAACGTATGGCTGAAAGGACGTGCGAGGATGTGGCGTTACGGTGTAGGGTGTAACACAGTTTATATAGCGTATGGCTGGAAGGACGTGCGAGGATGTGGCGTTACGGTATAGGGTTAAACACAGTTATACAGCGTATGGCTGAAAGGACGTGCGAGGATGTGGCATTACGGTGTTGGGTGTAACACCGTTATCAAACATTTTACAGGGTATGGCTGAAAGGACGTGCGAGGAATTGGCGTTATGGTATAGGGTGTAACACCGTTATCAAACATTTTACAGCGTATGGCTGAAAGGACGTGCGAGGATGTGGCATGACGGTATAGGGTGTAACACACTTATCATACATTTTACAGCGTATGGCTGAAAGGACGTGCGAGGAATTGGCGTTATGGTATAGGGTGTAACACAGTTATGATACATTTTACAGCGTATGGCTGAAAGGACGTGCGAGGATGTGGCGTTACGGTGTAGGGTGTAACACACTTATCATACATTTTGAAGCGTATGGCTGAAAGGACGTGCGAGGAATTGGCGTTATGGTATAGGGTGTAACACAGTTATCATACATTTTACAGCGTATGGCTTCAAGGACGTGCGAGGAATTGGCGTTATGGTATAGGGTGTAACACACTTATCATACATTTTACAGGGTATGGCTGAAAGGACGTGCGAGGATGTGGCGTTATGGTATAGGGTGTAACACAGTTATACAGCGTATGGGTGAGAGGACGTGCGAGGATGTAGCGTTACGGTATAGGGTGTAAGACAGTTATACAGCGTATGGCTGAAAGGACGTGCGAGGATGTGGCGTTACGGTATAGGGTATCACACAGTTATACAGCGTATGGCTGAAAGGACGTGCGAGGATGTAGCGTTACGGTATAGGGTGTAAGACAGTTATACAGCGTATGGCTGAAAGGACGATGCAGTATGTAGCGTTACGGTGTAGGGTGTAAGACAGTTATACAGCGTATGGCTGAAAGGATACAACACTGGTGGTACTGTGGGTGATACAACACTGGTGGTACTGTGGGGTGATACAACACTGGTGGTACCCGCTTCTCTGTGGGATGATACAACACTGGTGGTACTGTGGGATGATACAACACTGGTGGTACTGTGGGGTGATACAACACTGGTGGTACTGTGGGATGATACAACACTGGTGGTGATACAACAATGTGGGTGTGGGGTGATACAACACTGGTGGTACTGTGGGGTGATACAACACTGGTGGTACTGTGGGGTGATACAACACTGGTGGTACTGTGGGTGATACAACACTGGTGGTACTGTGGGTGATACAACACTGGTGGTACTGTGTGATACAACACTGATGGTACTGATACAACACTGGTGGTACAACACCGGTGGTACTGTGGGCTGATACAACACTGGTGATACAACACTGGTGGTACCGTGGGGTGATACAACACTGGTGGTACTGTGGGATGATACAACACTGGTGGTACTGTGGGGTGATACAAACACTGGTGGTACTGTGGTATGATACAACTGGTGGTACTGGGGTGATACAACACTGGTGGTGGCACTGTGGGGTGATACAACACTGGTGGTACTGTGGATGATACAACACTGGTGGTACTGTGGGATGATACAACACTGGTGGTACTGTGGGGTGATACAACACTGGTGGTACTGTGGAGTGATACAACACTGGTGGTACTGTGGGGTGATACAACACTGGTGGTACTGTGGGTGATACAACACTGGTGGTACTGTGGGGTGATACAACACTGGTGGTACTGTGGGGTGATACAACACCGGTGGTACTGTGGGGTGATACAACACTGGTGGTACTGTGGGGTGATACAACACTGGTGGTACTGTGGGGTGATACAACACTGATGGTACTGTGGGGTGATACAACACTGGTGGTACTGTGGGGTGATACAACACTGGTGGTACTGTGGGGTGATACAACACTGGTGGTACTGTGGGGTGATACAACACTGGTGGTACTGTGGGATGATACAACACTGGTGGTACTGTGGGGTGATACAACACTGGTGGTACTGTGGGGTGATACAACACTGGTGGTACTGTGGGGTGATACAACACTGGTGGTACTGTGGGATGATACAACACCGGTGGTACTGTGGGATGATACAACACTGGTGGTACTGTGGGTGATACAACACTGGTGGTACTGTGGGGTGATACAACACTGGTGGTACTGTGGGGTGATACAACACTGGTGGTACTGTGGGATGATACAACACTGGTGGTACTGTGGGGTGATACAACACTGGTGGTACTGTGGGGTGATACAACACTGGTGGTACTGTGGGGTGATACAACACTGGTGGTGGTGGTACTGTGGGTGATACAACACTGGTGGTACTGTGGGGTGATACAACACTGGTGGTACTGTGGGGTGATAGAACACTGGTGGTACTGTGGGATGATACAACACCGTTGGTACTGTGGGGTGATACAACACTGGCTGTGGTGTGGGGTGACACAACACTGATGGTACTGTGGGGTGATACAATACTGATGGTACTGTGGGGTGATACAACACTGGCTGTGGTGTGGAATGATACAACACTGATGGTACTGTGGGGTGATACAACACTGGTGGTACTGTGGGATGATACAATACTGGTGGTACTGTGTGGTGATACAATACTGGTGGTACTGTGTGGTGATACAACACTGGTGGTAACAGTGCTAGGTCTATGTGGTTCTGTCTGTATACAACACTGGTGGTGAAGGCAAATGTTTGCTATATTTTCCTGTGTTTTCTATCACAGAATAAGTTTTTGATATTACAAACTCTAATTAATGATATTATTAAAATAATAATTGTCGATTTCATAAAGTATTTATTGATGCCAAATTTAAGTTTTTGATACTCAAACCGTGTCTTATTCCCATTTTTTACACATATTGCTCCTTGTTTTGGTTTTTTAAAACATTCCCTAACTCACTCAAATGGCGGCAATTTGTAATAATATTGTGCAGGACATGGTTTCTGTGACGCTCGCTGCCATGAATAGCGAGAGGAACCATATAGCACCTTAACCCCTGCCACAGCTACAGGTCATGCAGTCCTGTTTGGGGTGACAGCAGGGTACAGTGGTTGTCAGGCCACGTCATAAGTTGTGACTGACAGCTGTATAATGTACATACCCGGGTATCCATCGATCAGTGTAGGAGATAGGCGTGGTTCTGTTGTCGAGCACATTAAACACTGGACGACTGCAGACTTTCTGTCTGGTTCATGTGTAGTGTAACCCGGCGGCCAATACAGAGGCGGAAGTAAGGTCAAAAGAAATTTTAGATAAGGAATCGAATTTTGTTAGTTAAAAACACGCGCACAAATACATACATACACGCACGCACACAGATTAAAGTATACACACCAAATTAATTGTCTGTCTGTTTGCCGTTGAGGACTTTGTGTCACCTGGCGCTACAGAGTCTACCATTGCAATGATTCGGCTAGCCTGGTTCCCTGGTAACACTGCGCTGCCGCTCTTCGGTCGCTGCTACATTTCTTCAGCATACTAACAGACAAGTATGTGCCAAGGATCTCGTCACCTGGCCGCGCTGTGGGGACGTTCTTTCTTTGCTATTGGACAATATACACTACACCGTGGATTCAAGTCTTTTGCTATGATTCCTCTAAGAGCATTTGCCCTATGTATGTTTGTATATCGGAAACAAGTACGCGTATTTTCCTGGACCGACACGACCAAAGCATGACGAAATGTTCGTTCTCTCAGGAGTACTGCAGTACGCGTGTATTTACACGTCTATCACGAGATGGGGCGAGATGTTCCATTGTGGCAGCAGAGACAATATACATGGAATGACTTATTGTGTGCTATCTGGTGGCAGTGAGGTAGAAATATGTATGTATTTGGTCATCTTGTGATCTTTTGCTATTTCTTCCTGAACTGGTCGAAAGTAGGGTTTAATATGTTTATGTTCTACAAATATACTCATGCCAATAATTGTTGTCACACCCTTCAATTTTTTTAATTGGAGAGGGGGTGTGGGGTGTGTGTGGGGTTAGGGTGGGGAGGGGAGGGGGGTGACAACCATTATTGGCATGAGTATATAATGTTTTACACGAAATGGTTGACGTTTCGGAGATGATGATGTTTACCTGTAAATATAAACACGATGGTAAAATTTGTTGTCCCTATGTATTTCCAATCTGGTGTGGTCTATTCTAAATTTCATATACATTAATTCACTCAGTTAAACTTTGCATAGCTATGTGGCAGAAATCAACATATCCTATTGTGTAGGAAGTTGTTTTCATGTCTCTTTGTTGTTTAACGTGGCACTCAGCCATATTCCAGCTATATTCCAGCGGTCTGTTCATAATCGAGCCTGGACCAGACAATCCAATGATACACAGCATGAGCATCGATACGATGACATGTGTCAACCAAGTCAGCGAACCTGACCACCCGATCCTGTTAGTCGCCTCTTACGTTGTTGAAGATGAATTCTAACATGGCCCTTCACGGGTCGAAGTTGTTCTTAAGAAACGATATTAGATAATGATTTGAACTGATTCATGTGTATTAGTAACATGCCATTAGGTACCCGGTTCCCCAATAATTTATCCCCATGGTTGTGGAACACATCTTCCCGTGTATAATCACAACCGTCATGAAGTATTACGCTGCATTTTATGTGTTCATGAGCATAGAGACAAACTGATTGAAACGACATAGGATAAGTTCATAAAATAGTTTTGTTTAATTGGCACATTGTTTGAGTAAGGCATGTCTGTTTAACACTATATGTCTATACATTTCTCTCAATTCGTCTGTTTCATTTTCTAGCAATATTTGTTTTGTGCGTGATTCGCGGAAGTCACTGACAATCTTGTTGACAAGTAACATAAACATTTACTGTACTATGTCTTGAAGAGATAATTCATATTTTTCATGAACTTCGGAGTGAATTTTTGACATTGGAAAATTGATATCTCGCATCAACATTTCCTTTTTAGTATAAATAACTTATTTGGTGATTTCTAAAAAAAATACATAGGTTTTACCTCTGACATCAATGAACACAGCTGTTGATGAATTATTGATGACATAACATCTGGAATAAATAGTTAAATGGCGGCTGATGGTGTAATCTGTTCAAAACTGAGTGTGGAAATCAGGTCTGCGGGTCAGGGATTCTACACGTTGTCTTAGGTTTAGCTGTTGTGAGATGAGAGACAGTGAGACAGCGAAGGGTGATGAATATTTAGATTGGCGGTAAATTCTTGGGTCCCAACACATACTAGTAGTACATATAGTACGCTAAATACAAAATTGCTTCAACGTAGCGACCCGCGAAAACACACACTACTGCTTGCCTCGTACACGTCATAGTGACGTCATGTAGCTGTAGGGAAGCGTCGCGCAGTCCCAACACGCCGGGGTTTCTCAGCTCAAGGACGGACGTATGTCGTGTGTGGATCGTGTGGCGGTGAGTACCGTGGCTAGGTCGTCACTGTGTATTGTGTGCCATGTTTCGGGCATAGTAAATAGATTCATTAGCATGCATATTTCAGTGAAACTTGTTTTCTTGAACACATCTCATTCAATATAACATCGTAAATGAAAAAAACCCCACGGTCTCATACATTTGCTTAATTTGGATTGGAAGACGTGATTATACATGACCGAAATGACGGTGTCTCACTGACAGAGGCTCCTGAGGTAAAGTTATCCTTAATTAAGTATGTGAATATTTTTGTTGCAAATACAAATGTACCGTTTTTCAAGTCAACAATGCATCAGAATTAAAATGCTTACTACTTATTTCAGTGAAAAACATATTTCCATGATTATGTGCAGCGTCGTCTGTTGCCTTTAAAAGTGACGGGTGTACTGTCTAGTCTGTGCAAAAATAACTGAAAAATATGTGTGGGGTCTACACATCAACATTTGAACGTCGTGCTCACTGTTGTCACTTTACTCCTGTGTGCAGTTGTAACAACTTCCTCTCAGATAAACTGGGGACAGCCATAGTAGCCATAGTAACATACCCAGGATAGCTCATGGAACAATCTCGGGGGAATTACAGATAACAGATGCTCCGTTTAGATGAACACCAAAGTGAATTTTCGCAGTCGTATTAAATGTATAAAGTATTGTTTTAAATGTAAACATTACGTGAACCGTTCTCATCTGAACTGTCAAATAACACTGAAGTCAGTGGCAGACCGGCCTATGTGCAGCACATACAGACCCGTGCAAAAAGTATTCGGACACTTGACGTAATTTCCACAGACTTACATGTTATTTCCGTGTAGCTTAAATCATTTTCATGAAGTGAGTTTAGGATGGGTTTTTGTAAAATTTGACAGGCAAATTTGAAATCATCTCTGTTCTGCGCACATAAGTTCAGTTCCGACCATTTTAACTAATGACATCACATAATCAACTAACGTTTGGTTCCACAATGCACAATCCCATAGGCCGCCATGTTAAAGGAGTTCACGGCACACATGTTGATTAAGTTGCTGCCATTCGATAAATAAGCAACGGAAAATTAACAAAATTATGTGGTTGTAGGTGAGATAATTCCTCACAAATGTGCAAAATTTGACTTGGATCTTACGAAAATTAAATTCATGAAAATTATTAATGCCGCACTAAATGAACATGTGGAAGTCTATGGAATTATGTCAAGTGTCCAAATACTTTTTGTTATGTTATGTGATGTTATGAAAAGTTGTAATGATGGTTGCATCACGGCTGTCTATAAACCAAAACTAAGCCCGCACAATCCGGTGTCAGACCATCATGATTTACACAAAAATGTCTGAAAATACGTATAACACTGTGTTAAATGTAAAATTGACAGATCACAATGTTGATCCCTTGAACATAACTTTCTGCTTAAAATTACTTAAATATCTGTCCATTTTGTTAATGACAGTATATTGAGTATAATGATATTTGCAAATTGAGACATAATGTTTCTACATCGTTACAAAATTTATATCTAACATCCAGTCACAGTCGTAAAACATGATCCGACTTGACACTGTAGAAAGGGAACATGGGAGGTTTGAGTAACTAGTCTACACAGCACAGTATATCAAACACTGTATCACACCTGCACAGTTACCCTCCCCACCACCCTCCACACCACCACCCACCACGTACCACACACACCCACCACGTACACACCACCCACCACGAGCCACCACCCACCACGTACACACCACCCACCACGTACACACCACCCACCCACTATGAAGCATACAAATGGGGTTATGGCAAATTGTCTCTGTGGCGGAATACATATCTAAATTTACAACTGGGAATTTAAAATAACATCCTGATCAGTGTTAGTGATGACACGAAGCCAGAGAAATGCCAGAAGTTATGGTTCACGTTGATGTGTTTACTGTTCCTGTCCTTGTCTCATTGTCAACGTTTTGTCCACAGACTCCAGACCCCCAAGTCTGCCTTGAGGGAGAGAATGCAGAACTCAGGGAGGACAAGCGGAAAACCCAGACGAGGTGACACATCTCAGATAACATGGCAGTCAAAACTCTGTAGATTCTAGCAGCTCTTAGATTCCATTTGCTAGTCCAACTCGTGTTTTGTACAAATGGTGTGTTCAGGTGTGGATCTACTAAGTTCACAGTTAACTAGTAACAAGGTCAACATATAGGTGTAAACCGTTCATTAACACTGTAGAATGTATATGATGCCCAGCATGTGTACAGAGTCTACCTATTCTGTCTCACAGTCCCTAGATGAAGCAAGTCTAGTTTTCCCCAGGTTCTGATCATGAATCTCTGGTCTCCCTGGGTATCCTTTTCAATTTAAATGGGTTTATTTGTTACAATCAAAATCATATATATATATATATTAAGCGTTAGTCTAAAAGTTGACCCTGTGTTGCAGCTACACCGACCCCATCACAACGAGCTGCCCCGGGAGAGTTCGACCTCGACGCTGCCTGCTGGTCGGGGAACATGGCCGAGGTGAAACGTCTCCTGTCCAAGGATCAGTCCGACATCAACCGTGAAGAGAGGGACTGTGGGGCATGTCACCGGTGTTGATGGCTGCGTTTGAGGGACAGAGATTTGGTGGAGCTGCTTGTGAGTCAAGGTGCTGATGTGTCACTGGTGGACGATCACGGTAACAACATCCTTCACTGCGCCTGTGAGGGAGGAGACAGGAAGACAGTGGAGTTTGTCCTGTCTCTGGACGGGGTGGACATCAACAGTAGAGGAGAGGAGGAGCAGGACACCGGTGATGTCGGCAGCACGGTTGGGGACACAGGGATGTGGTGGAGCTCCTTGTGAGTCGAGGTGCTGATGTGTCACTGGTGGACGATGTCGGTAACAACATCCTTCACTACGCCTGTGAGGAGGAGACAGGGAGACAGTGGAGTTTGTCCTGTCTCTGGACGGGGTGGACATCAACAGTAGAGGAGTGGGGAGCAGCACACCGGTGATGGTGGCAGCAGTGTGGGGACACAGGGATGTGGTGGAGCTCCTTGTGAGTCGAGGTGCTGATGTGTCACTGGTGGACGATGACGGTGACAACATCCTTCACTACGCCTGTCTGAGGAGGAGACAGGAAGACAGTGGAGTTTGTCCTGTCTCTGGACGGGGTGGACATCAACAGTAGAGGAGTGGGGAGCAGCACACCGGTGATGGCGGCAGCACTGGGGACACAGGGATGTGGTGGAGCTCCTTGTGAGTCGAGGTGCTGATGTGTCACTGGTGGACGATGACGGTGACAACATCCTTCACTACGCCTGTTATGGGAGGAGACAGGGAGACAGTGGAGTTTGTCCTGTCTCTGGACGGGGTGGACATCAACGTCAGGAACAACGACGGGGAGACAGCGGCCGACGTGGCGAGAGACTGTGGACATCGTCAACTGTCGGATCTCCTGGTGTCACGTGGTACACAGTGAAGTGAATGTAGTGTTGATGTAGACAGTGATGGAGGGCATGTCGTTACTGACACTGACGTTGTGCATGCCGTTCACGTCGTCGCGTTGTTTATAATTCAGTATGAAGGTGAGAATATTTGTTGTGTTTGAGGAGAAATAAAACTTGTTGAGAACATTTTCAGACATTTTGTTGTTTATGGAACTTTACAGAATCAGGTAAGGATATTGTTGACTGTAAATATTGATGATATGTCGTCGGTACATGAACCCCGCATCTCGTAATGTAGTTCTGTTTTAATTATGTGTCATAATTTCCTCAGTAATCGTGAAACAGACAACAACAAACTGTTTGTTTACATCTCGCTGCACTCTGTGACCTCAGACTCAGCCGAGGTGGCGCCAAATGTACAGTGACGTCACATTGCTGATGACGTCACGGTCTGTGCAAAGTACTATATGCAGGCTTCATGACAAAAACAGTTAAAATATATTTCTGATCGGCGATCGATATTACTTTTGGGCCAGTATTCGTGATATACCATTCAGAAAAAGTAGGGGATATTGGATTTACAAGATTGATAAAATGCAAATGATGAAGCCAAGGAGGAAACTGATGATGAAGATAAATTAAGGGAAAATGTGACAATATATTCCATTCCTTTGAAATGCTTCATAAGTATGGACATATATTACGTTTTCTCATATACATTGGCATTGGCTAGTCAGAGTTGCCACAGGTCGGGGAAAAGTCGGAAGAAATTATTTATTCAAGATCAGGGAAAAGTCAGGGAATTTTGTAACCAGTCAGTGAAAATTGAATTTTTGGAAAATAAGTCAGGGAAAATTGCCTTTGGTCAGTGAAAACTAGTTCTTTTCAGACTTCACAGAGGCAACGATTGTATGATTTTGAGTTCCATGTCTGTATTAAATGGGGTTTTTTTCGTAAAGAGATTGGTATTATTGACTTTAATCTACTTGTTTTGGCAGTGTCCTTATAGACATATTTTGCTGAACTCGTTATATTTGGGTGTGACTCATATACTGTCACAGATACTGTTTTTGACCTCTTAATATCAATGGCTATAATCTTTGTGTATACATGTTGGTGCCAAGGGGTAACACTGACTGACTGACTGAGTTTGGTTTTACGCCGCTTTTAGCAATATTCCAGCAACATCACGGCGGGGGACACCAGAAATGGGCTTCACACATTGTGTCCATGTGGGGATTCGAACCAGGGTCTTCGGCGTGACGAGCCAATGCTTTAACCATTAGGCTACCCCACCGCCCCTTCAATCAAGGGGTAACACCACACATTGATGGTTTTAAGATAGTGTGAGAACAGAGGTATTCTATTGAGAAAATTAGTTTCTCGAGCAGAAATAAACTCAATGAATTTTACACAAAGTTCGCTCAATCTATCATCCACTTTTCAATTAATCCAGCCGAAGCATAAGTGAAAAGCAGACGCAGTGAAAAGCTAGCAGTTTTCTTTATACTCACAACAGTATCAGCATGAATGTGAGTGTGAAGGAGTTTGTTTTTTTAAGAAAATGTCAGAATTTCTACCAGTAAGATTTCATACTGTACAAATGAGCGTCACCCTTTGCCTGGAGGTGATCCTCAATCTTGTAACAGGGACTTTCTGACAATAAAAACATTGTAATTAAAATAAATCAAAACTCTTACGTCAGAGTTTGTCAGAGGTAATCTGTGTCATACACTTCATCTTGATGTTAGATGGGTCTTTGTTTAATTACATCTGATTACTTTGTCCTAAGATTTCACTTTGTCTTAAGTAAAATGGATGGAAAGCTTCGGCTGTAGGGGAGGTTGGTGGAAAGCTCGGCTGTAGGGGAGGTTGGAGGCCGAAATTTTATTTGTTTTCTTCTAATTTTGATCAGTGAAAAATTAAACTGGTCATGGAAAAGTCAGGGAATTTGAACTTTCGTCATCTGTGGCAACCCTGCTAGTGATATGGTCGCAAAATGGAATATCCCCTACTTTTTTTAATGGTATTAGTATATATGAAATTCAGTGTACACTATCATTCAAAATACATGCTTGGTGGTAGGACATTTTGCCATATTTATGTTCTTACTTTTAAATAGAATAGATTTTACATGTTGGACGAACATAAACTTAAACATAACATAAACATGAACATAATTATCTATATTCCCTAAAGTAATCACAACACAAAGTTAATGGTATTCTGACATAGATTGCTGGAGTTTCGAATGGTGTGTGTGTGTGTGTGTGTGTGTGTGTGTGTGTGTGTGTGTGTGTGTGTGTGTGTGTGTGTGTGTGTGTGTGTGTGTGTGCGTCATTCCACCTGCCTGGTTCAGCTGGTGATCCGTGACATGATGTCCGACACTGAGTAAGTGACACCACCGGCTTTCAGGAAGCTTACTAAAATACGGTTCTAACGAGAGCTCTGATTTCAGTATCCTGTATGCAGAAACTTTGCTGGAGACAGCTGGTTTGTATCCACGGTTTTCTGTCCACTAATTGTCCATCATGATCGCCCGTTTCGACAAATGCACTCAATACTAAAGTAACAAAACTGCTGAAAACATCAACTTACCTTCTGCACAAAACTTCCCGTGGCGCTGAGCTCATGAACGCACGCTAATTTTCCTCGCTCTCGATACATCCAGAAATTAAGCAAATATGTCCACCACAAGAAGAGGGAATAGGGGTAAGAATCACTCTGAAGGTATTTCAAACCCTCGATCGGGCACACAAGAGGCCGAAATTCAGCAGCCGTCAAGATCAGACCCAAATACTTCACCCGACATGATGAACACACCGGGTAGACAGGCAGCCATTGCTCATGACGACTCCGAGAGATCAGACCTGAAACAGTTCATCGCCCTCGCCTTGAAAGAACAAACTACTGAAATAGTAAGTAGAATGGACACAATGGGAAACGAAATTAAAGAGCTACACGGAAAAACAGATGATATTTTAGCCTCAGTTCAATTCAACGCAGAACAAATAGAATCGAACACAAGCGAAATAAACAAACTGAAGTTGGATATGAAAGAAATGAAGGCGGACTTCGAAAAGAAGCTTTTAATTCAGGAACTATATATTCCCGCAAGAACAATTTATTGATATACGGTGTGCCAGACGATAATGATTCCGAGTTGGCACCTAGAGAGACCTTCAGTGCGATAGGGGTTAAAAATGCAGCTGAGATGTTGTTTGTCAATGTGCATAGGTTACCTCGTAAGAGCACGGATCCTGTGAGTTTCAGAGCATCGATGCCAAAGCCTATTGTAGTAAAGTTTGTAAAGGTAGGGGACAGGCAAACTGTGTTTAATGCTGCACTGAGGAACTTTACTTCACTAAAAGAGAAGAAAGTCACTATCCGTACGGATCTGCCAGTGCTTCTAAAAAAAAACAGAGAGGTCGACTTGCTAATCGCGCCTTCGAACTGAGAAAGAAATACAAGGTGCAAACTAGGATCCTCGAAAAGGGAATTGAGCTGTCTCTTCAAGTGAGAAAGAACCCCCCAACAACAGTGGAGAACAGTAGACATTGATGAGACACCCTAGGTCACTCAATTTCACTTGGCTTGTGACAATTCCCCTTTCGTTTCTTTTCCCGTTGACTATAATAAGAATGGACATGAGTTTTGTGTATCCCAAATGTGCAACGACTTTGAACATTCACAAAATATGATTATAGCAGTGATCATATTATATTCACAGTGGACTTTGTTTACAAAATATTGACACGTGCTTTGCTATTTTTAGAATTCATTCACTCCGAGGCTATAAACCGGATGTTTTGATGTTTGCCATGAGTGACATGTGCGATATTGATGTATGTCTCTTTTGTTTTACATGAGATGAGTATGTTGAAATATATCAGCAGGTACGTATTGAGAATGCCACTGTTATTTTGCAGATGTGTATTTGCATTGCAAAGACTTTGACTGAGTGTAAACTTTTTTCATTGAAGCCTTCTAGCTTGTTCTACCGTCAGTACCGAGGACCGTGTTTTTACTGTATAACGCGCATCTCCACCACGAGTGATATGGATTGCCAGTAGACATCCATTTTCCACATTTGGGACGATTTATCTATATCTGGAGTATTCGGTCAAAGGGCATGCCCCGGTTTTTCTTTTGTTTTATATTTTTCATGTTTGTTTTTTTATTTATTTCATTTCCTCAGTTGTTGACTAAAACTTGTTCCCATCAGGTTCAAATTACGTTGTTCTTCAAATTTTCCAAGGTACTGAATGTATATCACGGCTCATATTATATTCATTCTCAATTCAATTGTTTTAATTTCAGCTTGAGTGATAACAAAAGCCAATTAACTTCTACAAATGTATACTTTGAGCATACTCTCATTTTAGAAAATCAACCAAAACACTGCCTTGCCATCCCAGTTTATACTTTGATTTACTTCATGTCTAATTATATACTTGTCTGAGATGTCTACAGATAATATCAAAAAGATAACAATGATTTCAGCAAACTGTAGAGGACTAGGTGATAAAAACAAGAGAAGGGAAGTTATGAATTTTTATAGGAAAAAGTGTTACTCAATTATCTGTTTACAAGATATCCATTTAGCCAATGATGACATCAATATTATGAGAAATGAATGGGGACTTCAAAGTGCCATAGCACCTTTTAGATCTAACGCCAGGGGAGTGGCAATACTCTTTAATAATGATGTAGATCTTACTATCCACAGA